CGGGTGGGTCGTCGCCGAATCTCGCCAGATGGCAGAAGAAGATGGCCGCCACCTCCCGGCGGATACAAGCACTTCACATGTCTAATTATCATAGCTCTTGGCGCGGTTGGAATCGCCGATTAATCATTGATTGAAACGGTTGTATCATCTGTGAATTATTTGTAATGAGCTGTTGATCTTGGTGAATATGATTCCTACGAGGTGTGGTATGTTATACTCATCTATATTGGATGAAAATGTGTTCCAATCCTTGTAAATAAGAAACTGCAGTCAAAAAATAATTTATCTAATGTATATAGTTTGGAACAAAATGTTCCTCGAATTTAACAATGTAGCTATAGGACGTTTCGGGTCCCCGTAACGCATACTTACGCGTGGCGTGAGTGGAGGGCCTTCAGCCACGCGGCACCGTCTCCCAAATCCACCACCGCCACCGCCGGGCAGCCGTGGAAAAGCTGCTTCCAGATAGAGGCTGCGGGCTGCTCCACAGCGCCCAGGTGATCGCGCCATTGTTCGGCCTCTGCAGACACCACCTGGACATATCGCCAATCATTACAGTTCGGCACTCACGCATTCTTCAAAAACCCTTCCAATCCCAAGTGATTCATTACGAAGAAACAAACCATTTAAGCTATAAAATTGGTAAAGGGGAACATCAGAAAACATCTAAACAAATTTTGAACATTTTTTCCCACATCGGGTTATTTTTTATGAATTGTTGCCATGTGGCTGTGTACTCTATGTATCCAAATGGCAGCAATACATTTCTCATAATATATCTCCCAAGCTATTACACAAATTCATATATTGTGATATTCTCTATTATAAACAAACACTATTCTGAAAAACGAAGATATCATTTGCTCTTCCCAATTCACCATCGCTGAGAAATTCTACAAACAAATTACGATTTGCAGAGCCGTGAATAACATTTACATGCGCGCCAAAAAGGAATCAACTCCAGAAATTTACATAACAATTGTATATCTTCTGATCTGTAGTTGAAAGATTCAAATACGTTACAGAAATGTATAGAACTCGCGGTTAATGGTTAAAAAATATTGAAAAGGTATAATCATACCAAGAAAATGGATACATTAAATTACTTATAAACACCGTAATTGTAGTGAAGAGAGATTCTTCTGTCTTGCTATGAAAATCAGCGATGGTACTGTTGTAAAAGTTTTGGATTTTTACTCAGTCTTTTAATTAATGACTTTTCAATAATGAAAGTTTTCCAACTACAAAGTCTGTTTTGACTTGTAGAATTTATCAAAAACATTTTTATACGTTTGTGTCGAAAAGCTGCGTTCAACAAGTGCAAGTGTTGCCGGAATTGTCGTAACACGTTCGCACAGTTTCAACACTTCTGGGAATGCCTTTCCCAGTTTTTTTCTTTTCCTGAACAAAGCACAACAATTCTCGAACACTTCATTTCTTAATACTATCAGTCGTACTGTACAGAATACTTAATTCTGAGCTAAATGAGACATTGAACAAAGTTCCATAGCTCTGAATTAACGCTGAGCTGAGACGGCAAACTTTTATTAGTCACTTTTTAAAAAATGTCCATAAGAGCAAGTTTTAGCATCAAAATGTCATGAAAAATTACTATGGCTTTTGTATTATTGCAATTTGCTACCATTGTTATCTTATAAACTACAAGAGAAATGCACCTTTTGCCTACTTCTAAACATTAATATACGTGACGTACTAATGTCTTTTGTGTCTCACTTCACGAAAAAGTGACATATAATTTTGCCATCTTAGCTCAGCGTTAATTCAGAGCTATGTGCGTCTTTTAGGAAGGGCACTTGATTATAGTTCTGGAAATTAGCGAGTTCTAAAAACCTCAGGGATTTAAAATTGCTTAACCTCAAGTTGAGTTGCTCTCGAATGTTATCAATTCGATTCCATGTAATGCTTCAATTTTTTATAGACGACTAGGGCTTTATTCTTGCAAAAAAATTGTTACACATTACGTTTGTCATCATATAAATCATACTACACTTCACAACGTTTCGGAGTTTTTTAATTCCATCTTTAGGCATAATTTTTAGTAGTACATTGCGCAATACGTCAACATCAATTATACATTACGTATTATCATCATTACAATTCACTCAGTACATAGAACCTGTAGGTCAACAGCGATCTTATAATACTAACTGGCAAAGTCTACATTTTGATATTTGACTGCCTTTTTTTCAGTCTCATTGTGTAGAGCATGGCAACGTGTAGGAGACAGCGAGAAAATATTTGATAAACCAGTTAAAGTTTTGAAAAATATTTTACATTCTGTGATTTTGGAAACTGACTAAGATATGCCAGATTTAATTTATGAGCACAGCAGTGCATTAGGGTATACCTGTTCCACTTTAACCAGTAGCCCATTTAAATGAACAGTCATCACCGCAGCACCATCATAAATTCGTGCATTAAGTTTCTATTCACATTTTGTATCTCCAACAATATCTCTTACAATAATTTTATTCTATATTAAGCTTCTACTTGAAGAGACGTCTGAGTTTCTGTCTACAGAGGCGTTTTGGAATCGTAGGAATCTCTCTTTAACATTTCCTTCCGCATTTAAATAACGCACCACATAAGGCAATTAGCTTCGATTTCCAACTTCTGTACTCTCATGTAACACAATAGCAACGAAATAACTATTTCAAAAAAATATTTATTTAATGTCCTTTTTTAACAACAAAGGTCATTAGTGACCAAAATTAATTATATATTACATTATATTAATTATATTATATTATATTATATTATATTATATTGTATTGTGTTGTATTGTATTGTATTGTATTGTATTGTATTGTATTGTATTGTATCTTAAAAAATAAGCAAAAAAGGGAAATATCAAAGGAAAATATATCGGTACATAGCAGAGCACAAAATGTAAAGATGGCCCTTGTAGCAAGAAAAACGGGACAAACTCTGAATTATGGCCCCTGTAGCTAGAAATACGGGACACTGCCCATTTAAATATGAGTAAGTGGGCTGATAAGACCTGAGCATGGACCTGATTAGACGCCCAGGCATTCAATCTACGCGCCGCGACATCCCCTCTGAACGAATGGCGAGCTGTTCCCCTCTCCGCAAAGGTGCGTCCCCCCACTACTTGCACTTTCGCCGCTCGCGCGTGCAGGATGTTGAGTGCGGAATTCCCGCGGAAGCTGGCGTTGTGCAGGCCTGTCTTAATAAGTTCGATTGGTGGACCAAAAGGGTCTAACCATCAAACCGCAGTGTCTCCGTTGGCATACTAGGGTTTTTATCTCCTGGAGTATCTCACGGCATTTCGCGTCTTTCTCGGTCGTGCCGCTAGATGTCACATGATCGCGACCGAATCGAGCAGTGCTGGCGATCATGCGACATCTAACGACCGAGAAAGTCTCGAAATGCCGTGAGATATTCCATCATGAAGACAGGCCCTCACGCGCCAGGAAATAAAAACCGAAGTATAGACCGGAAGGGTCCAACCATGTGTGACGGACAGACGCACGCAAGTTACTCGATTAAGGTTCGTGTCAGTCGCTAATCAAATATTCAACCATTAATTACTTCTATAGATTAATAGCAACTGCTTGTAAATGTGAATGAAACATTTAAATAATTATTTGTAAGTAGTTAAAAATAAGTATAGTTATAAAACCAAAGTTTATAATAATATTATATTATATTAATATTTATTTTTGTCTCTCGCATGATTTTCCGTTATTTTTTCTTTCTATGTTGAATACCAATCCACATTGTTTAAAATAAAACTTAATAATCCTTTAATAGTTTGTAGCTGTGTGCGATAAAAAAATTTAAGATAGTCTGGTTTTCATTCGTAGCTGAAGAGAAACAACGCTGACAATTGCGTGACTTGCTCCTATGCTGTGAACCAGTACTAGTTGCAAGGTATATAGCAACAGGCTTTTATCAGTTACCCTCAGAATGCCCGGTGAGGTAAGTTATATTTAATACATTCTGATTCATAAAAAAATACTATGAATTGAATAAAATAAAAAAGAACGAAATAACTTATTCAATAGGTTGAACTTAATAAAATCTATACCGACAAAAGCTTTTTCCATAAGAGCCTGTACTAATTTAAACTCCTTTTATTCAAAAAGCAGTTGGTTGCAATTTTTTTCATACTAACTCGAATATCAGAGATTTTGCCTCATTCAAAGTATTGTTAGGGAATACTTCACCGTGGTTGATAGAACGAACATACTCTAGAAGAATCTGTTCGCTAAACAAGTGAACATCACATGAAATTCACAGAAGTATCCCTCCGTCGCGACAGCTGTTCAGCCACGCTTTTCCGCAAAGTGTCTGTTTGTGGCTCCCATTAAGACATCACGGCTTTTTATGGTTCAGAACCGGGTAATTATATAAAAAATAAATTGATAAAATGCAAACACGGGAAGTTCTCGATCTCATCTCGTCACTTTACCGCACATGAACAGGAAACTCGTGCACGAATACGCATCTGATAATCAAGACTCGGTTTTCAAATAAACATAATACTTATTTCACAAAAACAAAAAGTAAATTCAATGTAATGTTTATTTAAAAAGATTTTTTACAGAAGAGCACAGTAGCTCTGCACTTCCTGATTTCAGTTATTTCTCGTGGCTAATTATATTTTCGTCCGAGGACATATACAACTATATAACTTACCAAGTACCATAAACTTAATACATTAATACCTGTATGAGTGAACTGTTTCTCTTAAACCTGTTGGATGAATCACTGTGAGAGATCAGGATCATAAGCAGAGTCGATATGACTATAAATCCGGGTGTCATGGATTTTATTTGCATTCTGGATGCTTCTTCTTTCTTGTAGCGTGTTTTTTTTTTCGTTTGCGCCTCTCTAAATGTGTCAAATTCCTGTAATAAGCCATGCGTGAGAAAGAAATAGCGGTAACATTAGTACGATTTGTCGAATATTTAGGGTTTTTATTAAATGCTTTAACTGAATTACGAGCTTTAGATCGTTGGATCAGCAAGAAAAAATGTTCTGTGTAATTAGCGTGCCTTCCCTAAACCAAAATACTTAGCGCTACTCTTGTGCTTTCACCAGTGAACACAAAATAAATGAAAATTTTTAATTTGTATTAGATATTAGGTCATTAAAAACTCAAAAAGACTATCTTAATACAGGCGAAATATATCAGAAATATTTAAAGACATTTCTTTTAAACAAGCACAGCAAGAACCATGTCTGGGAAAGATTTTTTGAATTTGCTCTGGTAAACTTCCCTCTATAGTAAACCTTTTTTCTGCAAACAAACTTACCAAAGCACTATGCGAACTTTTCCCCTCTATAAGATATGGTAAACAATGTTTTGTTCATTTATCGCAACAACAGGTATCACTTCAGTACAACATAATCTGTAGATTGAGTTGAGAAATTACAGCCATACAGACAAAGTGAAAACATACGTTATAAACAACAAGCAACAACAGTATAAACGACCTGCTTTCTAGTTACTACAAAAAAAG